ATTAAAATACCCGAGAAAATACATATGGATGCCTAAAATTGGTCTCGAGAAAGAGGAAGCTACACATGGGCGTCAAGTGAGAGCAAGTAAGATAGAGAATCATTAGGAACTTAAAGTCACTTGATCGTCACTCTCATATCCATTAGTGGAGGCATCAGCAGGGGCATCAGCAGAGGTATCAGCAGAGGTATCAGCAGAGGTATCAGCAGAAGTATCAGCAGATGCATCAGCAGAGACATCAGCAGGCGCGAAACTCACGGTGTGAGTTTCGTAGTGCATGATTGAACGAGCCCATGGCCCGAGAGTCCAGCGTGTTAATCAGCCAGAAAACATATTGAAACTGACAAAGCGATAGACAGGGAAGACAAAGATAAAATAGAACGATCCAATGGTTGAAACGGATAGTTGCCAGATATTGGGGGGGGGGAATTATGGGCTAGCTCTAGGGCTTCTCGTGGATTGCCGTTAGTTAGTCTATAACTTGCTTCCGTTTTCCATCGCAGCCATCCGCTTGCACCAATAGCTGGCTCCAATTCCTCTTCGTCTCCTTTGTCAATCATATTATCTATCAATTCCAATAGATCGTATTCGATACATAAAACAGGTGAGATTGTATCGATATCGATTAGTTCAACATGTAAACATAGGGTCAAAAGTCAATTTAAAAATCTGAGGTAACGGGTCTTTTGCGATTGAATTTTTATTCTCTAGATTAGCAAATGACAGTGCGGTGTGAAATAGTTAAGAATTTTCTCATTTTCAGCTTTTCCACCTGAAATACTAAAACTTATGTTCTATTGTTTCCCGGAAGGCGACGGCGTGGACGTCCTTTGAAAGGTTGGCGACAAGGGGTGGAGGAGGAGATCAGAAGGTGCCAATTGCCTGATGATTGCCTCCCTTTCTGGGAGGATAGGGGGCAATGGCGATTGGGCGTCGCAGAGCGCGAGGCGGCGCTATAAAAGCGACTTTATGTATGTATGTACGTTCTATTATTTTGAACCAAACAATACACCGATCCACTACCGAATACGATCTATAGTCAGTTGCAGAGACGCGGGAAATTTGAAAACGCGTGAAACAAATTACGCTAATCGTGTGTTAGAGGATGAATTGCAAACTTTGTTCATGCGCTCACTGGGATTACGGTGTAATTCCACCTTTTGGTAGGCTATTCATTTACCTGTATCTGTGTGCGCCAGACCCATTAGGCGCCATATTAAATTAATTTTTTTAGTCCGCCGCTTGTTTCGCAGCGACAGTCTCGAACGACAGAACGGTTTCTCCAATCGGCTGCCGTGCCCGATTAATTCTTGGCTGCGTTCTCCGAGTGTATGCAGACTCGCGGATCCCGCCGCAAGGGGGTGGAGAGGGCGGGAGGGAGGGGAACTTGATTAATTTACATAAATAGATCTTAATAAAACAGGAGCGTTAAAATTGCCACCCCTATTGTGCCTTTGACAGCGTCGATGATTATGCGATAATACCGGCAACCATAAAGCCAGGACCGGGCTCCTTTCGTCAGCGGATATGAATTTACATTTTTAAATGAGAGGAATATTTTATTCCCTCACTTCATAATTTCCGTCGTCTCCCTTCTCTCTCGGATCCTCGGTTATCGTCCTTAAAAATTCCGAGCTCCCGGCTCTTCGACGATCGTAAATTCGCCATTGAGGAGTCGGCGCCTTTTTACGACACCCTCCGGAAAATTAGGTGCGTTTCGCGCGCTTAACAATATTTGACGGAATCGTCACCCTACTGGAAAATTTCTACTTTTCAAATTTTTTCCCGAGTTCCATAATTCCTCATAATCCTTTCCAGGACTCTTTCGTTGGATCGAAACGAATTTCCGAGATGGAACTCGTCATTCTCCCGATGAAAGGGCGTTGTATTTGCATGAGCTTTTTACAAATTGAATTCTCACTGGGATCTGCTGGACGTTTCAGACTAAAAAGTTCACGGATTTTTCTTCCGATTACATAGACAAATCAGCGAAACTTTTTGACTGAATGAAATGGGCACAGTTTTGGAGGAAATTGAGTTTTTTATTCAATTTTGCAACTTTGAAATGTACGTACGCTTCTTTCTTCCCGGAACAACGAGTTAAATCATTCTAATAAAACTAAACAAATTAAACTTTGATTCAAGAAATAAAAGCTTACTCTATGTTGGCCGATGGAAAAATCGGCTGGTCTCCGAAAGTATCCTCAAAAGAGTGATGTTTCATGTCATGTCAATGGTCAACAGATAAAGAAGCTGAGACTTGGATTTTTGACGAAAAACGCCTGCTAGTTCCTGCGAGAATAATTTTGGGCTCATTTCCGGGCAAAATTGCGCTTAGCTGTATCAGCGGAATCCACAATGTGGCCTGCGGCTTTACCACAGAAATTGCAGTGCTTTAGCTCTGGTTCAGTTTGACGGTTCAGTATTTATTTGCACAAAATGTGTGTCTCTCAAGCACAACATTCGACATTAAAGCCTTTTTATACAAGTAAGTACATGTAGGACTTTTTGTTAGACTATTTTTTACGATAGGAATGTTTCCACGACTAAAAATGTGTAATTTTTTACACTTTCCTCCGATAGAGGGTAAAACGCTTCATTGTAAGCTTTTTTACGACTGGTGCTGAAAAACAGGTGCACATCATCAGGGATCACATAAACTTGACATAAAAATGATGCAACAGGGTGTTACGACTTTCATAAAATTCACAACATGTTCCCGTCAAAAGGAGTAGCGCTATTCATCTTCCTACATCTTATTCAGAAAAATAATTGATTCCATAATGGAAAACAAAGGGTGCTATGGTTAATACTTTAAAATTGATTTCATACTGATGCGATACAATTCTTTTTTAAAAATAGGTTTTATCTGTAATCTTTCTTGCGCTTCCCGGAGACGTTTTCAAGAACTTTTGCATGTATGAAATAAGAAAACTTACACGTAAAAACCTCATTGATAATAATTGAAGCCATTACAATTCCTGAGGGATTATGAATCTTAAAGAGAGCACGTTCGGTTTATATTAGAATCTCTCGTGGCTAAGATATTTTGAGCGGATCTGGAATGAGTGTTATCTCAGAATATAATTTAATGAGGCAACGCAAATTTTATAGGTGTTAATGAGGTGGTGTAAGATTAAAAATGAAGTTTTTTGGCTGCATTCTGCTGGGGAAAAATACGAGTTCTCGCCTGTTTGATATTTGGAAGAGTCTTCACGGAGCAGCCCCTATCTAGATGAGAATTGTAAGAGTCCTCTTCATGGAAGGAAGTGTAAAGAGGCTCTGATTATAATCTTTTGCGCATGAAGGAGAGAGCAACCAGAATCCCGAGGATTTCACGTTTCGAGGAAACCCCCGCTTAATTCATTATGCTCCAACCTCAGTTAAACGGTAATGAGATTTAAAATAGGAATTAGGAGGCCTTCTTTATTACGGCATTTCAATAGGGGCCTCGCGGAGGAAACTCAAAAAGTTCGGACATCGACAACTTGCGGTTTACCGAAGTTAACTGATTACAGGAGAGCTTAAGTGGTAAATTTCGCCGCGAAGTTTTCTTGTCCAGCTTAAGGAGGACTTGTTAAAATCCAGAGTGCTCAGACCTCTTTCAAACTTTCGTTCCAAGAAACTTCCTCCGGGCGGGCCGCACCGTTCGTGAAACTCAAGTGACAAAAATCGATAAAAACAAACGTCTGAATGACATGACGTGGGCCCGCGATTGGAACGTCTCAATAAGTGGCGAGGCGTGCATGATCGATTATCGATATATCCCCATTTGAAGCTACGGTAAATAATCGATTATTAATGTGGTCGTTGCAAACACCCTGTTTATCGATCCTTTTCCATGGGTTTAAATGTCAGATAAATCGATACATCGCAAAGCACGCCACGCCACTGGTCTCAATACTCTAAAAGCGTCGGTCGAAGTTGGAATCGAAAACTTGTGGTAACTTTTCGTATTTGCACTTGGACAAATATTCATTACTGTGTATGAAAAAAAGACCTTCCCGGGACAAATTTTTAGTGTTCGATTATTGTCGAGACCGGTCGAAGAATCGATTTTAAAATTTTCCGATGGATCGTATTCAATAGTGGTTCAATGTATCGTTTGGTTCAGGATGATAGAACATAATCTCAAACGAAAATTTTAGGAATCATGTAGGAGAAGCTGAAAATGAAGAAATTTCTGACAATTTCACTTTTCATTGCTATTTTATACTCATTAGAATCAAAAATCTATCACAAGAAACCCGTTCCCTCAGATTACTCAATTGGATTTTGAGGTCATGTTTACATATTGAGCTGATCGATATTGAACCAGTAATCGATAATTTCACCAGTTTGAAGTATCGAATACAATCCATTAAGAGCGCTCTGGGGTTCGTGAAGGATGAATGGACAAGTTGTGCTGGTCATAAAATCTGAGCGATGACTTTTTCTGGTGGATTTGCAAAAAAGATGATAACTGTTGTGCATGCTATAATTCCTCTCACCTTGGTTTCACCAATCATCGATACATTCATTTTCACTGGTTGTGCGGCGAAAAACACGGATGAAACCAAAGCGGGATTAAACACGGTATGCAACAAGACGGTGGATGATGTTACACGCCAGGTTTTTCAATGGGCAGTATTTCCATTAATGACGCAGAAAAGAGGCATATGAACTTATTTTGTCGGTTTTTGCTAAAAACCACCAGCAATTCAACACGATTCTATAATTAACTCAACGGATCCTGTTCGAACGATTATCTTCATGTTTGTGCCTAAGCAGGGCGTAAAAAGACATATCAACGATTTTGAGCTTCGAGCATGGCTGAATAAACTTAAAACTGTTCCGTCTCTTAAATTTACGCTTTTTTTAAATCCAAATTCAAACCGTTGCACTTCCGATTTGGTTTGACACTTTCGGTCGTTTTATTTTAAAGTTCTCCATGCTCAATTTTCATTCGCCGACACTTTACTGTACGAAAACTTCACGATAATATTTCAAAAGAGACTTACGGTTAAGCCATGGACATCCTGAATTCTTGCATCGGTATCAGGTTCGGCCAAAATCACAACACATACGATTGTTCTGGACCCGTGCCTAGAAAAAGAAAATACGATAATATCAAATTGAGTAAAAATCTTTCATTCAATTGTTTTAGACGACTCGCAGAAAAGCAAAATAGAATGTCCGTTTTAAACTCTGTGATTTGAAATTTTCATGGAAAGAATCCTGTTCTAATTACAAAAACACGTCAATATGTCCATATTTAAATTTTACTAGCATTTAATGACCTACTTAACACTAAGATGCAAGCACACCGGTGGATACATTAATGTATCTTTAAAAAACGATGCGTATAGGTAATTAACACAAGGGTTCTTCGATTAGTTTTTCATGAATCATTCGACCGCTGAGTTCATTAACGCTGCGCAGCCTTCTTCAAAGTCAAAGAAGTCGAGGCACTCTCTAATAATGGCTGATGAGATAAATTGAGGGTGATCCGTAAAATGTGTAACACTTTTGTCACAATCGGGTGGTGGATAGCATAGTTGGAGTAAGTAGCTAGAATATGGGAAGTAGCCCCCACCCAGCTGCCAGACTGTGCAGAAAAATCCGAATTATTTCGCGATGGTGGATATGTGATATGTGTGTTATAGTATACAATCTGGCAACAATGTTTTATGTTGTGACGTCACCAATGTTGTAAAATTGTGCAGAAAAATCGGAATTATTTCAGGGTGTTGGGGGTGTTTTATTGTATGACATGTCAACCATGTTTTTCAGTTGTCACGTAACAGGGTTGAAAGTTGAGCGGGAAAATTTGAATTAATGAGGGGCAAGTTACCACATTGAACAAGAAAAAAATATTTTCTTTCGAATCATGTTAGCCGCACCCAGATGTCAGATTGAACGAGAAAAAATGATTTTCTTTCGAATCATGTTGACCAGCAGCGTGTCATGCTGTGAGATATATCGATTGATCTGCCATTTATACCTATGGAGGAGGATCGATNTAGGTATAAATGGCAGATCAATCGATATATCTCACAGCATGACACGCTGCTGGTCAACATGATTCGAAAGAAAATCATTTTTTCTCGTTCAATCTGACATCTGGGTTCGGGCTAACATGATTCGAAAGAAAATATTTTTTTCTTGGTTAGTGTAGCAACTTGCCCCTCATTAATTCAAATTTTCCCGCTCAACTTTCAACCCTGTTACGTCACAACTGAAAAACATGGTTGACATGTCATACAATAAAACACCCCCAACACCCTGAAATAATTCCGATTTTTCTGCACAATTTTACAACATTGGTGACGTCATAACATGAAACATTGTTGCCAGATTGTATACTATAACACACATATCACATATCCACCATCGCGAAATAATTCGGATTTTTCTGCACAGTTTGGCAGCTGGGTGGGGGCAGGGGGGCTACTTCCCATATTCTAGCTACTGGAGTACACTTTGCAATTTGGAACTATAAAATCTGCCTCATCTGAAAAAACACTTATGCGCATGGGGAAACTAATGGCACATACGTTGTTTTTAAACCGGGCCAGAATTTATGGTTTCAAATTGCAAAATGCAGTCCAGTTAAGCAGTATCAAGGAGGGGTAGGTTAAAATGTTTAGCCAAAAGTAGTTTCCAATGATCGATTAGACCTTTAATTACAGTTTTCTTTTCAAACGAGGGGTTTGGTGTAAATGAGAATAATACGATAATTCCTGTCTCTTACGCTTATTTTGAAGATTTCAACGGTTGGAATTAATGACTAATATTGGAGGGTGTCGGAGAGCTGCAGGTTCGTCGGGAAACAAACGAAATGAGAAATCGCGAATATCCGGGAATGGGTTCATCAATGATTACACAAAACTTAAACCACCAACTGTATAGTCTTTTTAGCCATTCAAGGTGAAAGGATTAAAATGGCTCAACTCCCCCTATGAGGAAACTCTAGCTCACCCCATTCCCTTCAGACGATGCACACGACACCATTATGATAAATTTACTAGGACCTTCGATAAAATTAGCGCTAATTTTCTTAAAACCTTTAGCGTGTCAGTGGCATTACATTTCCACTTATTCGCGGCAATTTAAGTTTCCTCCAGAGCACATTCTCAAACAATCCAGTCTTCCGAGACAAGTAAAAGAGAAAACGGTGGTCGCGGAAAGCCGCGGGGTCGGGACGACTTTTTACAGTGCAGCGAAACGGAAAGTCGCACTTAATGAATTGCACATGCCGGGTTACCCTCTCCCCTTTTCGCTACCTATTTATTCCAGCCATGCTTCAGCTAATACCGATGTCTTATAGCTTTCTCGCTCAGTTTAATCAAGGCAAGGGTCGTCAAATGCGAGGGAGAATAGCTCACTCGAGCTTCCATCATCGGTATTGACACGTGGTGAGCAAGCTGAGCGAGCGGCAACTTTTCAAAAAAATAACTCCCAGCGAGAATGTTACTCACACGTCTCTCCTGGAATGGGGAAAGGTGGAGAAAGGGTTATTGTGTTTTTCAGTTCCTGCATTGTAAATGGAAACGTCCGGGGAGCGCGAACAGAGACGGAAACAAACGTTCAGCAACCGTATCCAAAGGCGCGTATTGTGACGAAACCTCCTCGTTCGAGAGAATGAAATAAATTCGCAAAGAGTTTTATAACCGCTGCCATCATAGAAAGGGAGTCATACTTAAAGTCAATTGCAGTGTTTAAGTTTCTCTGCGAACAAAACATTTTTTACGCGGGAAATGGCACGTTCTCTCCCTTTACCTCGAGTTTGGACGTCACTGAGCAGGAGGTGTGTACAATCGAGCGACGGAGGTACACCGTATGGGCATTCAAGTGTCACCAAAATTCTGATAATAATAAATACGATTTTTGGATAAAATAGGTAATTATTTTCTTCGGACGGTGTTTCTTATTTCATCAGCGAGAATGAGAATTTGATTGAGACTCATGAAACACAGATCTCATTACTCTTTACACAAATGCATTTATTAAGAATTTTGTTATTCCCTCTTGATCAGTAGCTAGGTGACAAGTGACACGTTGAAAAACGATATTTCTCCATAAGAATGAGAAGAAATTTGAATTCCCGCCACGTGTACTTGGTGTATGACGCACAGTGGATCGAGTCAATAGGAGATGTCGAGCAAAATTTGGAAACTTATAACTCCATTTATACAAAACTTTGAGGTTCTAAAAATAGTTCCATTGGTTTCGTCGTGGAATTATCTTCCAGAAGCACCCCATTAAATTTGAAATGTGACATAATAAACATCAAAATTGACGGTTTTAGTGAGAAAACTTCATGTCCGACCTCTCTAATTGACTCGATCCACCGTGCGGCATGAAAACCAAATGTTGTAAGTGCAATGTTGCACTTGTTGCACAATGTTGAAATTTTGTTGTTGTTGTAACGGAGGTTGGTGGTTAGTTAAAAACTTCGACCAAATCCACTCGGGAAAATTTGCCGAATAACTGATTTGAATAGGTATTTGTCTATTTGATTTATTTGCCTGTGCCGTACGGTTGGATTAAAATGCGTGTTGGGATCGACAGCGTGTCTAACGAACTCGATAGAGGGGCGAATAATTGGGCTCGGGGATCTTGGGAGCCGGAGCGACGGTGATTTTTAATAGGAGTCACGTGCTTTGTCCCGCGGCGGCGGCCGCCACCTCGGACGATCAATCATTGGAGCGACACAGATAATGTCCGGCGGAGCCTTTGTTTATTCCCAAGATAAATACTTTTCAGTTATCTGAAAGATAAATGTTCCCGACTTTCACATGAAAGGTATCCAATCAATAACCCGCGGAACCCCCGATCCGCGCGCGTAATGGCCAGCCTGGGCCCCAGGTAGCTTTCGTCTGTCGACTGCGACAGTCCTACTTCAACAGGGCTTTAAATTGGGACGCGCCTCGCTCCCTACTTATCCGCCTCCGCAAATGCACTCCCAACCGGGAGATTTTCCTTTCTCGGATCGTTTCGCCTCGTGGATCTCCGTCCAGAAACTGGGCACGGTGGATCGAGTGAATAGGATAGGTTGGGAAAAATTTGAAAACTTCGAAAGCTTGTATTTCCAAAAATGTGAAACAAAAAAGTTCATAAGTCATTCTATTGGGTTATTGGTAGAATTTTCTTTCCATGAAATAGAGATTGTGATGAAACCAACATAAAAGGTTTAAAATTTAGCCAAAAATGCATGTCCGACCTCTACTACATATATTAACTCGATCCACTATGCGGAGTTGGTCCCTTAATTTCTTTTTTCAAAAATTGCAGCAACACGTATCTTTAAAAATCCTTAGTGACATTGATCGTTGAATTTAGACTTTCAAAAGCGTGAAAAATTATTTAAATGTACGGGTTGGGAAACCCATTTTATTCTTTCATTGAGTGAAATTTGAAATTTACGTTAGAAAAAAGTTAAAAGAACCAATTCGTATTTCAATTTTATTAAATTCTGCATATCACTCATAATGATACTATGCACGAAATAAACACCAAAATATGCAACACAAATAACTTAAATTTTACTTAAGCAATTATTGTCCAACTGGTATGGAAAATCTGTGATCAAATCTTCGATTAAACGAGTAAAAATAAAACGTTACTTAGTTCCTCAAAAGATAAGTTGCAAGCAGTTTAGTGCTCTTTGCGCATATAGCCTGTAAAATTCCCAGACTACCTCGGTTTGGGACATTGTAGAATTCCTGTCTTGCTTTATCTTTTTAAATAAGAAACAACTCAACATCACTCTTAAAAACTTCCGTGTTTACTTTTCTTTGTTCCAAGCAAGACTTTCAAGGAACGGTGTTGATTTTTTTCTCTCTTAAAAATAAGATAGGAGCGAATATTTTAAAAAATCGCCAACTACGATACATGTTTCGGGAATTTCACTGTCGATTGGTAACATTAAATGTAGCCTTACTCTTAAACTTGCCATGGGAATGGAGTATGGGAGAAGAGAAGACGCGCGTTAATGACGGCGCAAAGATACAACTATTCGTACTGGATGGATGTCCGAGTTGCGTGCGCAAAATTGAAGGCGCGCTGGAGCGAGGCGTAAACTGGCGATGCTCCGCGCCATGCTGAATGTTTCTAACTGCTCTTTGCACACGTTGCAAGTTTTACGTTGAAAAATGGGGTCATCGATGAGGGTTTTTGCAACACATTTCACGATCATCGATGAGTGATGCACCGATGACCCCCACTTTCAGCAAAACACTTGCAACGTGCGCAAAGGACTAATGCGATGTCACTCCAATTCGGAGAAAAGTAAAACAAAACGAGATGATAACGTAACCCATGAACTACCGGTACAATAAGATAGTTATCGTGGTGGAATTAATTGCATCATGCTGATCATTTTTCACTGGAATGCTCGTAAAACGCTCTATAGGGCATTGAAATATTACCAATAATTTAATTTTGAGTTTTTCATTGATGCCTCAGTGCCTCACATCCAGGTGACCATCATAAATGAGCCGTTAAACAAGTTTTAGAGGTAACAAAACTTATTTGCGACTCATCAGAAACCGCATCAACTTTTTTACTTCCTCACGTCAGAACTTTGAGTGTTTTATTACCCGCCATATTCGACAATCTTAATAATATTAGTTTGTCTCCCGGGAATTATTTATTGAAATACAACAGCAAGAAGTGAGGAGTTTTTTTCAAAATTGAGTACGTTCTCGGTCCTTCAAACTTCAAACCATTGTAAATCTGGTTGGATTGGAAGTCATTGTGTATGTTTGCACCATTATGTAAAACCTAATAAATGCCAATATCTCGCTATTTCTTTTTTTCATCAGTATGTGCCTTGTGTTGTCTACAGTTCTTGACTTGCAGTTAATTATGTTTTATCCACGCTACGATTCCAAGGCGAGAGATCAATTTCTATTCAAATCTTTTTAATTAATGATACGTGTTGCAATTTACGTGCTTTTTTACATTTATTTCGAGAAAAATACGTTAAAAAACAAACTTTACAATAGGCACCTAGATTGTACTGCGCAACATGCTTCCTCCTTAGAATTTCAAAAGGAGAACAAATCACACACTAGGAAATATTTAAATCAGCTGATAAAAAAAGGGTATAAGTGTTTTTACAAGTAACATTGGGTAAATGACAAAAACAAAAATAATATCATTTGTATATTCAAGTTCATTCTTCAATCGTGTTAAATATACTTGATACGATCTCGTTGATGAGTTGATTTTAAGAGTTCTCGTCGCATGAATCGTCTAAAATCGATTCTGAAGAGATAATAGTGATATTTTATTGTTGCTCAAGCCATGCTTCGTGACCCATTAGGTACCCTTCCTTCTTGAAGAATTTTTCCCCTTACGTTCAGTAGATGAAAGCATTAGTGATCGTGCATAAAATAGATAGAGAACAAAATTTGAGCAATTAGCCGATTTTCAAATATAAGCAGTGATTGCGAGTCAGGCCATGCTTTGATAAAATAAAGCGATGTGCAATAGGATGTTAGGTATTTTTAGCATGATAGGTTCTAATATCTTCTTGCACATTGTTTTATTTCATTAAAGCGTGGTCTGAGTCACGATCACTGCTTACATTCGAAAAATCGGCTAATACCTCAACTTTCCCACCGTAATACCGAAGAGAGCAGTAAGTGCAAAAATGAAGTTTTGAGAAAACGGGCTCAAAAGCTTCTGACCGGAAAATTTTATTAAAAGAAGCCTTCATTCTTTGTCAAATTGCCACTATTCATTCGAAAGACTCCTAGAAATCGCTCGGATGATTAAAAATTGACTGATTTTATTTCAATTACATAAAAAGGGTATTTCTCATTTTCATGCTAGGTTATTGTTAAGCAAGACAGCCGTAAGTGCTATCTTCCGTGTACTTTCGTAGTTTCATTTTGGACACACAACAAACACATTTTCAGGTTAGAAATTGACAGTGGAGGGTGACACTTCACTTAAAAGCACTGTTTTCAATGGCTCTCTGGAGGAATATTGTCACTTCCTGCTGTCTTTCCTAAAACTAAGCCATTTTTTGTGCACTTACGGCTTTCTCAAATTCTCACATGTCTCGTTTTGATACAATTAGGATGAATTTTGCTGTTTTAGCTATTTCAGTGATTTCGTCTAAAAGAGTTCAGACGAAATTTGCAGGAAATTCAATTTCAAAAATTTGACACTTACTGCTCTCTTCGCTATCACGGCAGCATTAGCTACCCTTCCTTCTTTTAGCATTTTCCCCATACGTTCAGTAGACAGAATACATAATGCTCGTACTTCAAATAGATAGTTCATCCTCATATTCTCTTCGGGAAGCAGTTAGCAACTCGTTCCCTTCGTTTATGCAGCTCAAAACTACATTTTCTTGAAACTTCGAATTGCTCCCTGGGGTGGTTGGCGAGAAGAGAACTAGATAATGAGGGTGAAAGTAGTGATTTACCGTGTCTGAGGGGTAATCCATGGCGGGAACTCACACACAGGGGCTCGACATACGTGAATCACGGTTGCACACACGTGCGAGGATGCGCTCGCGGGCGGGGACCGGGCGGGAGCTCGGCGCTGCAGCAACTGGGGGATCGAGCGAGGCGCGAGCGGCGGCGGCGGCGGCGCGGGAGAGGAAAGGGAGCGTCGGCGGCGGCGGCGGCGTCGGCGTCGGGCAGTGGAGCAGTGGAGCAACAGCTTGAGGACTACACGGCCGCTCCGCTCGGCCCCGGACCCGGACGACACCCCCGGCCACGAGGCCCACTCGCCCGGAAGGGAAGGCCCGCCTCCGCTACACCCATTCAAAAGCACACGCCGAGGTCACAGATGCGAAATCGAATTTGGTTTTGCGAGGGTTTCGTCAAATTTCGTGAGATTTACGGTGGCGCTGTATGCAGCTCGTAATTAGAATACCTGAAACTTGTTACGCCTACCCCGGGAAGAAGGGTATACACGGAAAAAAATTGATGAATCTTGACGAATCGATAATCTTGAATCTTAATCGATATTTGCGACTTTTTTTTAGATTTTTCAAAAGCATTCAACGAAGTCAGAGATGCAAATTGAATTTAGTTTTTCGAGAAAGTTTTGTTTTTCGTGGGATTTTCAGTGGTGCTGTATGCATCTCATAACTAGAATACCTGTAACTTGTTACGCCTACTTTGGGAAGAAGGGTATATACGGAAAAAAATTGATGAATCTTGTTTAATCGAGATTTGCGATATTTTTTTAGATTTTTCAAAAGCACACGCCGAGGTCATCGTTGCGAAATTGAATTCAGTTTTGCGAGGGTTTTGTCAAATTTCGTAGGATTTACAGTGCCGCTGTATGCAGCCCGAAATTAGAATACCTGAAACTTGTTACGCCTACTTTGGAAAGAGGAGTATACACGGAAAGAAATTGATTGATCTTTTTTAATCAATATTTGCGACTTTTTTTAGATTTTTCAAAAGCACACGTCGAAGTCAGAGATGCAAAATTGAATTTAGTTTTGCGAGGGTTTCGTCAAATTTTGTGGGATTTTCAGTGGCGCTGTATGCCCCGGCCCCGGACGACACCCCCGGCCACGAGGCCCACTCGCCCGGAAGGGAAGGCCCGCCTCCGCGAGACCCATTCAAAAGCGCACGCCGAGGTCACAGATGCGAAATTGAATTTGGTTTTGCGAGGGTTTCGTCAAATTTCGTAGGATTTACAGTGCCGCTGTATGCAGCCCGAAATTAGAATACCTGAAACTTGTTACGCCTACTTTGGAAAGAGGAGTATACACGGAAAGAAATTAATTGATCTTTTTTAATCAATATTTGCGACTTTTTTTTAGATTTTTCAAAGGTACACGCCGAAGTCAGAGTCGCGAAATTGAATTTAATTTTGCGAGGGTTTCGTCAAATCTCGTGGGATTTTCAGTGGCGCTGTATGCAGTCCATAATTAGAATACCTGAAATTTGTTTCGCCTACTCTGGGAAATGAAGGGTATACACGGAAAAAATGGATTGCTGATTTAATAATTTTTTACGCAAACTACGTATTAGCGCCTACAAGACTGCGAGATACTTCAAGCATTGCTCGTACGCGCAATGCGTGCAGTATCCCATGCATTCTTGTGTCAAATTTTATGCGCAATGCGTGAAGTATCCTTGCTATCTTGTAGGCGCCAATACGCGTCTCGCGCTGGCCGCACACCGCGCCGCACCATGTTTGACTATATTATTAAAATTCACAAAGTCAGCGTTTTTCAACTCATGATTTTAGAATGTCTGCACTATCTGTATGGATTATTGTCGTTTTAATGGGTCACTAAACCATGAACGAATTTTGAGTCGCTGATACATTTTTCCGAAGATAAATGATGCGTAGAACACGATGTGCACATTAGAGACGCAAAAAAGTAACTTAGAAACCGAGAAATTTGCAGTTGAAATAGCGCATCTTTTCCGTAAATTTAAAACACCCTGGTTTCGCGTCAAACCGAGTGATGTTATCCCGCACTGATCAGAAGCAAGCAAATGTTCCTTCGGCTTCTTTAAAAAGTCTCTCTAGTCCTAGATTGGAAATCATCATTGCGGCTAAAAACTTTTTTCGTGTCAATCTTATCTCTTCCATGACTTGTCTCAAAAAATTGAAACGCATAAAGTCAGCTTGTTCTCTCTCTAAGGAATAAAACTTTTTGCAGTAAAGCTAGATTTTATGCTTGAACTTTACACTGTTGCCATTTTAGCCACCGAAGCGTAAATATATCTGGTGAATTTTCAAGTTTGGCTAGAAGGTATTTTACACCTGTAAGACGTCCCGTCATTTCGCGATCTCAAGAGGAGTCTTTTTTCAGAGAGGCTTGCTACTAATTAGCATAAGCGTTTCTTAACGAGCGCTAACGTTGTGCACGTTAATGAATTTTACATTTTAGCTCCCTCTCCAGTTAAAAAACTGCTGAAATCGATTTTTCGGAGCAACCCACGGACTCCTAATATATTGTGTTCGTTGAACGAAGGAGAAGTGTAAGAAAGTTCTTTTGGTCAAAAATTTAAAAGAAAGAACACCTCTCTGACAAATAAAACAGGGAGAAAGTCTAGTTATTTTAAAACAAATGTAAGGTATCTAATTCACTCTGAGCTATAGGAGAAATTTCTCAGAAGGTCTATGTCTTAAGATTTTATTAAAGGACAAGTTAGGCAACTGGCATCACACGAATTCGGAAAACCCATACTTTTGGGGGCAATTCATTAAGGACGTCAGGTACTTAGAGGGACGAGGGTTTAGGATGGATGACAAAACCTTGTCGAGGAAGGTTGAAGAGGGTGAGGCGATGGTACCTAACAAGGGGGAGGAAAGGCTACATAAATCGAAACTGTGCCAAAAATTATTTTTTTATGACCCATTATCAGTATCTCCTACCGAAATTAATATTGTCACCTTATATCCACAGCATCACAAGCGCTATGCGATGTTTTAAAATGTCCACCGCATTTTTATTGTTTTGTGGAGAAATTGTTGGTTGAATTTGTTTGAAAATTTCACTGAATTTTATCGGCAGCACAAAGTAAATCCAGAAAAGTTTTCAAACAGCTTCGTCGAACAATTTTTCTCAAAAAAAAATAAAATGACGGCGGAAATTTTGGAACGTCGCATGGCGTTTGTGATACTTCGGCCGGAGGGTGACGATATCAAGTTATGAGATATAAATAAGAGGGGCTGCTTTGAACTGCCGTGCAAAGGAAGAACGCCGTATGAACCTTCAGACGTTGCCAAATTTCCTTTCATATGACGCGAATTTTCTGGTAGACTTATGAATACTTTTCCTCCAATTTCTTAGACAATTTTATCCGCAATTTCATCTAAATCATCTGACAATGTTAAGGAAAAATACGCCTAACTTTCCTCAAAAATACGTGTTTTATCCGGGAAAATTTGGTAACTCTTGAATGTTTATACGGCGTTCTTCCTTAGCACGGCAGTGAAGCAGAGGACTCCCTAGAATTAGAATTTCACAGTGGCCTATGGACTTCTTTAATTTTGAGTCTGTTAGAGATCCCCCCCTCGGGGAGGGGGGGCGGATTTCCTGACGCGTCATCACTCGTGAGAGTCAAGTTTACGCACCGACCGTAACGTAAGTTGGCATGCAAACAGCGTCAGGGACTAGAAATGGCCGTGGTGAGGGGCGG